AGCTGTGATGAGCAGACACATGATTCTACTATAATCTATATACTATGATACTGTTTCCGTCCAGGGGATGCAGAGCAGTATGGAGGAGAGGCTTCTTATTCGTGCAAAGCGGGCAGTGACACAAGAAGGGCTCAACATTTTCATCGACAGCGCAGCCGTTGCACTAAGCGCTGTCAGCCATCTAAACCTTGAATGACCCAACGCAGAAACAGGGGTTGAATAGCTGTGCGCTAAGGTGTTGTTGCCATCGTATGTATGCTATTTAAGCCAACGCTTCTACAAACGTTTATCAAAGAAGCACGACAGAAAAAGCTTTTTTTTTCAATAAGAGGAGGGGTGCGCCGGTTAATAAGAGCAAATATAAAGCAGCGCTATAATCGTTTTTTTTTTGTACAGCGAGAACTGTTAGGAGATTACATCAGAGACAATTTCGGCATCGTAGTTCTCCATCGCAGCTGATGTTCGTAATCACAGTAACATATAAAAAACAACGACGTAAGAACTAATGTCCAGGAGGAAGCGGCGATTGAACCTGGCTCCCCTCCTTGGCAGCCCGGTCTTTTGCCACTGAGCTATGTCGTTTTTTTTTTTTTTGATCTGAGACGTCCCACACACTAAGAGAAAATAATTATATTACAATTCACAACAAAAATGCCCAACAGAAATGGCAAAACAAAGATGAAACAACAAATAATACCAAGACTGACAAGGGCTGAATAATAGCATGATTAGACAGCCACCACAGTATAAAAAATAAACCCTTTGATCGGCTCTTGAAACTCCGTTGCAAACTGACCCTACGCAGGCTTCATGTCGGGTAATGAATCGGGTTAACATGTATGATCAAGCGTTTAGAACGGCAAGTAACAACCAGGCAATACACAATGTGAATTGCATGACGAGTTGGTCGTTGATTGCTGCATTTCGCAACAAACGCCTCAGATATACCTTTCCATTGTCGTCAGCCATGGCACCAGAAAAGTTCACGTAATATCTAACAACTGTGTAGCGGGTACCACACTTCTTATAAGAATAACAAATAATAATATAGTAAACACTTCATGTAGTTTATTGCGTATTGGGAACCATGAAAGAGTGCATGTTATAGTTGCTCCAACAGTGTTTCAGAAAAAAAGACTAAATAGGGCCGACTTGAAAAAAAAATTCTGTTTTCACTGTGATAGTGTGCGAAGGCCTGGCGTTTTCTTTTTTTAAGTATATATACTCTGTTGGACCTCCGAGCCTTACTGTTGCGGCGCGGCTCACATCGAGCAAAGCACACGTCTTGCCAGATGAAAGGCTTTAATGGAACTCAAGAAGAAAGAAAAAGACAAGGTTGAGCCGGTGCTGCCACAAGGCCAAGCGTCAGCTCGTGAGGAAGCTCGATAATGATGATGACTGCTCTTCTGCTGCGAGGGATGAATAAAGGAAGTCACAACAGTCTCCCGTGCCAACAGATGACGCTAGGTGGCTTCCAATGGGTACATTAGCTGCACAGGACGCTTCACAACAGTGCCGTCGGGCAAGCGTAGAAAGCAAGTCCTCACGATGCCATCCCGTCCACCGATCAGTTCTTCTATGCGAACCAAGCTCCACAGTTGCCTTGGACGATGTTTTTCTTTGAGTAGAACTACATTGCCTTTCTTCAACATGTGATTTATTTTTGCTTGGTTGAATGTATATTTCCTGAGTTCATTGGGGTACTCCTTTAAACAACGAGCCCAGCGAGTTTGCATATCCTCTTCCCTCTTGCTCCAAAGTTTCTTCAGTTGATCGTTGGCCCACTCGGTTTTGATTTTGAGGTCGTGAGGTGGTAGCGTTGTCAGTCTTCTTCCAACGAGAAAATCTGCTGGAGATAGAGGGTGCGGCTCATTCACGTCATTGTACACATATGTTAAAGGCCGAGAATTTATTACTGCTTTCACTTCCGTTAGTAAAGTGACCAACTCTGTCTGATTTTCCAAACGTTGACCAAGCATCTTCTGCAAGCAAGTCTTCACAGAACGTACGAGTCTCTCGTAAAATCCGCCCCACCAAGGAGCACTCGAGCAAATAAATTTCCACTGAATACTCGAGGAAGAAAAAAATGCAAGTACATTGGGATGCCGTATTGTTCGCCAGAGCTTCTGTAGATCTTTGGACGTTTTGACGAAGGTTCGGGCATTGTCACTGTAAATTGTGTGAAAGAGGCCTCGGCGTGATACGAATCTCGGATGTGCACAAAGGAATTCACCGTGGTCAAATCTTCAACAAGTTCCAAGTGAACAGCTTTTGTTACAGCACAAGTAAAAAGAGCGATGTAAGAGCGCTGGTGAAGATGCCCTCTGATGTAAAATGGACCCGCAAAATCTACTCCACTTACAAGAAATGGAGGGGTTTGATTACAACGAGCCTGGGGCATACAAGGTGAAACTTGCTCAACTGTGTAGACTGTAGGCGTTTGCAGATGACACACCGTCGTTTTTTTTCACCAGCTGTCGTAATTGTGGAATCCAGTATAGTTCCCTGATTTGAGTGAGTGTGTCTCGTATTCCTCCGTGGAAGACTTTTTTGTGAGCATGATTGATGAATACTGTGAGCATGATTGATGAATACAATAACGAGGTGAGAGTCTTTCGGTAGGAGGATTAGATGGCGAGAACCGTACGAGTCTACCGTCACCTGAACTTTTTATTGTACCCGAAGCAGCCAGTTGTTGTCGAGGAAAAATTTTAATTGTCCAAGTGGACTTTGGAAAGGAATCGGATTCTAGTTTGCGACGCAGTTGGCTTCGTTACCAAAGTGAGCTCTCTGTTCTACGCGAATCAAGTAGCACTCCGCCTGTTGAATTTCTTCAGCAGACAGCTCCTCGAACCTATCACTTTCCTTCTTCAACTTTTTAACATAATGGAAAACCCATGTCATTACTCTTACAAGTTTTGTGAGGCTGCTGTATCGTTTGCTACAATCAGCGTTGGCATCGATGTTCTCTTGGTAATAACGTGGATAATGATTGCTGGCCCCGTCTCAGCTGCCTAGAGTTTTCCGTTTTCGAGGTCAAGTTTTCCTCTGAATTCAGGCCAGCATGTATGAGACATGGCAAGCCATCCGGGTCCATACCACCACAACTGTGATCCACTCAGTTCGTGCACAGTCAAGCCTCGAGTGAGCTAATCTACAGGGTTTTCTTTTCCATGACAAAATTGCCATCGAGAATATTCTGTCAAATTTCTGATCGCCTGCGATCTCTTCCGTACAAATGCCTTCCAAGAAAGGGGTTTTTTGTAAATCCAGCAAAGAGTAATCTGGGAATTGGACCAAAAAGTTTCGTCACCAATGCCCAGGTCACAGTTCTTGATGATGTACGCTTATAAGTGGGCTGCAAGAAAAGCTGACATCAATTTCATCCTCGCCAAGGTGACCGTCTTTAACGGCGCAACTGTTGTCCTTGTCATTATTAGTATAGTGTGGACGGTACCACTTGAGTCGACTGTACAAACGTAGGCTACAGCACCGTATGCTGACTCACTTGCGTCGGAAAAGATGTACAGTTCTCCCTTTTGATAAGTTCCTTCGCTTCCCGCTGCGAGGAACCTTGGAATACTGATCTCATTTAGCATGGCTACCTCCTTGCTCCATTTTTTCCAGACAGCTGACAGCTTCATTGGCATGGTGTCGTCCCAGCTGAGGTTTTCTCTCCAGAGATCTTGTAGGAAGATCTTCGCCCTTGCTATAAATGTTGATAGAAACCCGAAGGGGTCGTAGATTCTTGCAACAGCTTGGAGCACAAAGCGTTTGGTAATTCGATGCTCCTCCATGAACTGTAGAATATCCTGGGGCATAAACGAAAAGGTACCTGTCTGTTTGTTCCAATAAAGTCCCAGGACTTTCAGAGGTCCAGAAGGTGAGCAAAGTGCCGCGCCGTGGTGGTCTAGGGGCTATGGTACTCGGCTGCTGACCCGCAGGTCTCGGGTTCTAATCCCCGCTGCGGCGGCTGCATTTCCTATGGAGGCGGAAATGTTGTAGGCCCATGTGCTCAGATTTGGGTGCACATTAAAAAACCCCAGGTGGTCGAAATCTCCTGAGCCCTCCACTACGGTGTCTCTCATAATCATATGGTTGTTTGGGACATTAAACCTCACATATCAATCAGTCAATCAATCAATCAATCAATCAATCAATCAATCAGTCAATCAATCAATCAATCAATCAATCAATCAAGGTGTGTAAAGTGATTTCTCGGAAGAAGTGATTCCTTGTACGAAGACGGCAGATACAACGAGGTCGTTGCTGCTCCATTTACGAATGTTCATCGAAGCATCTTCGGAGATTTCAATTGTCTCTTTATGCATTTGAATAGCGTGTTCAATTGTGTCAGCGCCAATAAGAAGATCATCCGTATATATGGAGTCTTGCAATGGACGGGTTCGAAGGAAAGCGATTTTTTTCGGACCTGAAATGGTGCTTTAAGGTAGCAGTCAATAGGAAAGGACTTGAAGTAGCTCCAAAGAGCACTCTCGTCATTCTCCAAACTTCTGTTTCCGGCAGTGGGCTGTCCACTTGAGGTGAAGTCTTGAACCACAAGAAGCGAAGCGCATCTCTGGAGTGTTCTTGCAAGAGAATTTGAAGGAACCCTTCTCAACATCAGCATTAATTGCTATCTTGTAGCGTCGAACACGAAGCAGTAGCGTCACTACGTCGGGATTTAGATTTGGGCCGGCTTCTAGATTGTCGTTTAAGGACTTCATTCCAGATTCGTGAGGCGAAGCGTGGAACATGATGCGTACCTTTGTAGTAGGTCGGTCCTCACGCATGACGGCTCGGTGTGGCATATAATACCGGGGTGCAGATGGTTGGTCTTCTTTTGTAGGTACCTTTTCAGCATATTCTCCTTCGAGGTATATTCTAATAGTTGCTTCGTATTGTTTTAAAAGCTCACTATCTTTGTTAAGCTTCTTCATCAAACTGTGCAGACGTTTGAGTGCAACTGCGTAGTTTTTACCCAGAGCAACCCTTCATTTTCACGGTAGTGCCACTTCATATCGATTGCTTTTCTTATTGGTGTTGTTCTCAAAATTTGCCAGCACCGATTCGGCGACCGTTGTTCCTACATTTTTGGCCTGGATACCGGTTCTTTCTATATCCCAGAAACGAGTTAGAAGTTTCGAGATATCTTGCTCGGTCACTGTGGATCGTAGGACTGTGATACTGGCACACTGTGTAACATCGGCTGCAGTAGACAATGGTCTTTGCACAGGCCATCCCAGTTTCGTCTTGACAGCTTTCAACTTTTCGAACACAGGCTTCACGGTTCCAGTTACTATATCCCAATAATAGTCTGATCCAACAAAGACCGTAATCTGTTTGTCTTGAACTTCTTGTAAAGAGAGAGCTCGCGTATCCAAGTGCATCTTGTTTATTTCCCTTATAACGTTTTCTTCTGGTACCGGAATGCATCCAGTGCATATCGTGTCCACCACCAGTGCCTCTATTGAAATCGGAAACTTCTGGTGCGCAGGGAGAATCGATACATGTACCTTCTTTATGGCTCTCCGTATATCATCGCCCCCAAACATTCCGATGGGCAACGTTTCCTCTTCTATTAGTTCACATCCAACTCTTCTGTAAGCTTTGGTTGTAATGAAGCTCCGCTGACTTCCACCATCAAAAAAGACTCGGTAGCGACCGGATGATTTGGCGCCTAATACGGCGGCTGTCAGACTCTGCAGCATTACGACTGACCTTGCCTGCTTCGACACCAGATTGACCGATCCAGATATTACCTTCTTGTCGTTTTTGATGTCGTCGGATGCGCAAACAGATGTTGCGTGCCTTCTTGCGCACTTGCCACATTTTAACCGGCTTCTGCAATCTTTTGCCATGTGGCCCTGCTTTAGGCAACGAAAGCATCTTGCCCCTTTTATGAGCATCTCCCTTTTGTTTGAGAAGTCGATATCTTTCGTATCACAGACTTCGGCAGAATGCTTTTCAGACCGGCAAAACAGGCATTGTTGTGGTTTTTGTTGAGCTTTGTAGAGCAGCTGTCGTAGAAACGTCACGTGGATGACTGGGTTTTAGTCTTCCCTTATCTGGGGCTCGACAAGTTTCCGTTACGTATTGTTCAGCAACAGCTTCCCGACAAGTGATTTGAAGTTCGATGAATTCCAGAAGCATTCGAAGATTGTTATCTTCTAGAACCGTTACACTGTTTGAATTGCCTTGCGTATTCGAAGACGATGCAGCCGACGAGGATGCCTTGTGCATCTCGTGGAAACGCAGCACCATGTCCGTCGGTAGAACTCTTAGCAGGATTTCCCGAAGCATGGAGCAATAAGCTGTCGAGTTTGTGCCAAGCGCCTTGAGGCTTCAAATATGAACCTGTACCTTGTCGTTTACTAAAGTAGCTTCAGCTTACGAACGTCTGCTGACGACGACACCAGCAAACCTTGCAAATGGTCGTGTACAATGATCTGTTCATCTCCGAAACGCTTCTTTAGGATTTCAATAGCGTCTTTAAAGCACTCTTCGGTTGTAATCCCGTTATGGCTGACGCGGCCGCTCTGGTAACCACAGTGTTCAAATAGTAGAACTTGTCAGCTGTGCATAACTCACTGTTGTTGTGGACTCCTGATGTAAACTGCATCCAAAATCTCATTCGGCCATAGTCTGCGGTTACCATCAAATTTCTAGTTCTAGTTGGGGAAGCTTGCTCTTGCCAGATGATAACGGGTGAGCGTTCGTAAGGAGTGGGGCTGGAGGAGCCAGACATTCGTTCAGCTTGACTCGTAGATTCGCTGTGAGAGTAACAACCTTGTCGCAGTATTCTCCAGCGTCTAACGTCTCACTGTCCAACAGGTCATCTGGTGTCTCTTCGAAAATTGCCTCATCCACTTTCTGTATCTGACCATAAAACGAGCTTATTCGTTCGAGGAATACACTTACTGCTGCTGCCGTGATGACTTGATTTACACGCAAGTGGTCTTCCGCCTCGGACAACAGGACATCCAGTTGGGACCACAGGCTGTGGCGTCGTCTTTGATATCGTTCCATTCTGCTGCCCGCAGTCGATGTATCTCGCCAAGATTGCAAGCGCCGTCTTCCGAGGTGTTTCGGCTCCTAACGCCAATGATGTTGGCGTCGTCAAAGGTCCCGGGTTTTCGGCACCATGTGTTGAACCTATGAGCCTTATTTGGCCCCCCGTTGGGCGCCAAAGATAACGATCTTAGAATGCTTCTGGAATTCTTCGAACTTCAACTGACTTGTCGGGAATCTGTTGCTGAACAAGACGTAACGGAAACTCGTTAAACTCCAGATAAGGGAGGACCATATGTTGGACCTCTGAGCCTTACTGTTGTGGCGCGGCTCACATTGAGCAAAGAACATGTCTTGCCAGATGAAATGTTTTAATGGAACTCAAGAAGAAAGAAAAAGACAAGGGTGAGCCGGCGCTGCCACGAGGCCAAGCGTTAACTCGTGAGGAGGCTCAATAATGACGATGACTGCTCTTCTGCTGCGAGAGATGAATAAAGAAAGTCACATCACACTCCACTTTAATTGATGCGGTCATGTTCTTTCGCTCTAATGACGAAATAAAAAATGCAAATATGGTTTACGATAAACTAGTAGTTGATAGGTTGCAATAAGCTAACAGAAGATGCAGAAAAACAGGAAAAGGTCACATGGTTTCATTTCTTGCGCCAGATACATCTTGCTTGTGCGCTTTCTTAACGAGCATTAACGCGAATCATTTGATGCAAAGGTACCTTTCTAAGTACCTTACCCTATCGTGGAGGTTCAAAGGTAAATGGCAAGCACACCTTTCTGCAAAGGCAGATCTGCAGTCAGGCATTTACAAATTGCAAAAGCAGATGTGCCTCAATGTTTCAAAATGATGAGCACAATGATACAGGATACAGACACAGTCAGAAAGCTTTAAACGGCAATTCCTCCGCATTGAATGACGCTGCTGCACAATACACATGCTGCAACTTGTTAGGCAGGCGCATTTGGTGTTGTATGAAAAGATAACGTGGTGGTTTCTTGAGTTTTGTATTTCACAAAACTTCAATAAAGTGTGCTGCAACTTAGTTGTTCCTTTAACCATAACGGAGCTTCAAGAGTGCTTTCGGTCTTTATATTGTACTTATCGACGTTGAAATAGTAGAATTTAGGTTTGTGAATGCTCCTTTTGTTTCAAATTTACGCTCACTGTTCGCCTGTGTTTTTTCACCACTGTGTTGTTCGTGGAGGTGAATCCATGAACTTAAATCTCGATCACTGAGACTGAATCGGGCATATGTCATGATTATTTATGAGCTATGCGAATTTGCTAGTCTCCTTGAAGCAAACCATGCCTCCAGAATAAGACATTTCCTTTAGCCATTGCTTTCATACATTTTTTTTACTTTCAAAAAAGAAGAGGAGCCGCGATGTGCGCACGAAGAAAAAACTACGCAAATGAAGATTGAGAAATCCATCAGAAGAAAGGTAAACATAAAAAAGAATATACATTACGCTTTGGCCATTTGAAACATACCTATGAAAAAGTAAAAAAAAATATTTGCTGTTATATATAATTTATTGCGGATCAGACATCGAAAAAGAATATAGACATCGAAAACCTAATGAGACCTGTTGCGTGGGTTAAACAAGAGGGAAACGTCCTGTTTCGTCGCGTAAGCTACACCAGTCGAGGATTAGCAGTTTTGCGTGGCTTACTGAAAGCTGCGCATGCCTGAGAAACAGTCACGACACACAACGCAGGGCTGGCGCGCCGGAGAGCCCTTGAAAGCTCCTGGTGTTACGTGTCACTAAATGGGCTGGCGCTTGACTCGCGTGAGTTCGCTCGCTACTGCGTCCGCGCATCTTTCCGTCTGCCCGTGCATCCATGCATCCATTCCATTGTAAGTTCCTCCGTCTGCCCACCTGTCCGTCTGTCCATTCGTACCTCACGCTAGGTATATCCTGGCATAGCCAAGCTAAGCCACTGATAATTTTTTTTAGAATAAGCGAAATTGATGTAGCAAGTAAGCCCTGGAAATCTTACTGCAATCTCATTGAGGCGGCAATCATTTCGTAGAAATCGCGAATAAATGCGTTATATCAAGAGTTACGCATCATCAGCTGTGCTGGTGGCACATGTAAAACGCCTGTTGCCCTTGAAATGTTGGCTGTCCATTCCACAACAATAAACACTACATATTCTCTGATATGACTCAGGGATCTCTAGAAAGAGAGCGAACAAATTGAAAGAAGGGCAAGGTGGTTAACCAGAATCGTAGAATCTGGTTTGTTACCCTGTTCAAAGTGAAGAGGGAATGTGGAAGGGAGATGAGAACGAAAGTGAAGAAAAAACAGACTAGGTAAATAGAAAACAAAAACAAACGCGGCTCGCTACAGCCTATACAATACACCACTGCGATGGAAAGAGTTCAACAAAGACTTGACAGATTTTCTGTGCGAAGACAGCTGGGGTTGGCATTCGAACACTGCGCTGTTGACAAGCGTCTGTCCTGAAGGTGGGCTGACGCAGCAGCTAGTGGCAGTCTGTGCGCTCTGTAGTGAGAGCAGTGACAAAGAACGTCCTGTATCACTTCATCGCAGCCGCACTCATCGCAAGCTCTGTGTAACCTAGTTTTCCACGAATGCGACAACAAATGGTGCTAACACTTCGGATCACTGAAATGGCCGTCTGTGCTGTAACATGCGTGCCGGCTGCAAGTCAAAGAAGGAGTGACCTTTTACACGGTAGCGTAGTAATGGTACCTGGTACACCTCGGCTATGTGCACAGTACTTCATTACACGAAGACCTCAATCTAGCTCACAAGACTTTGTTCAACGTGCGGCATAGGCCACTGGCCACTGAATCCTTTGCATGAAATTGATGTGCAAAGGGCTCGGGATACTCCAGAATTTATTATGGGTCAGATGGAAGTTCCATTATTTTTTTGTCTCTCATCAATCTAATTAAATATTGCACTGAGTGCTTAACAGCAGAATGACTTATGAAAATGAGTTAACGGGTGTGATAACCTAAGAAGCTTCGTTTTCTTGCGCATACATTACGTGCGACTTACACTTACAAGAATTCCTTGGTAATTAACGTATATATAGAGTGTTCTGTACTAGTACTGGGTGCTTTGTCGTTTATTATTCTGAAAATAAGATATATCTTGTAGAGAGTGCACATTGCTCAGTGTAAAATGGTTGACAGTAGATACACCGGGCTGTTTTGCACGAGAATTCACTCCTTTCATCAACAGCATTCTATCGCGTTCGTACTCTAATGCCAAAGTTCGTACTTTTACTCGCTAAAAATCATCACATGACTCGTTCTATGTGATATAAAGAAAACATGCAAGAAACCACTAAGTGTGAAAAATGTTACACATTTCTGTCAAATGCACGCATTTTCTAATAAACTTGAAATATTTCACTTCACCCTTGAGGCGCCCAGTCCAAAAAATATGTTGCCTGATCAAAATATTTCAAGAAAATACTATAACAAGTGGACTTCTCAGGAAACAATGGTTAACAAGTACCTTACCGAATGACCTCGTAATCTAAAACACACCGGTCAAAAGGGTGGGTCTTACGTAAACTTGTGTAATCTTAATCTCTGGCCTCAAATAACTTGCGGTGCTTGCTCTTAAACTCACCTTTTTCTGTGCGCTTCAGTGTGCTTATAGGCAACGTCGCAAAATGCTATAATCCTACGCGTTCGCGACACACGTCTATAACCTCGTGTAAAAGAAAAAGCAATCGTTACAGGTGCTGCTCTAGTGAATAACTCCTTGAGGGTAAATTTTTTTAACCTGAGAGAAAAAGAGAGAATCAAGTGCGACAACGCAGCAAGAGTAAGAAACCTTAATCCGTCGAAAT